CACAAATTTCCGAGAAAGGCAAAACTTCCAATAAATGTTTGAAATAAGCAAAATAGGCAAAAAAAAGCAATTTGCCTTTAATCCGAGCTTTAGTCACAGCCATCAACATCTAGCTGTTCTAAATTAGAAAACATGTTGGAAGGAAAAAGTTTTTTTGATTCTAGTACTTTAGAAGACGCATTTTTACAAGTTTCGGCCAATAAGGAAAATAAATTATTTCTAGTACTTTTTCTTTATTGAATATAATAGATATACACATCTATTTTGGAGGTATGTTGAAAATACAACAAAACAGTGCATGCCTTAGCGTTTTTTGTCTGCAATTATTTGCGGCCTTCCAACATTGTGAAAGGACTAGGATTTTTGCGTCTTCTGAAAGTGCTTTAACCTAATTTTAAGGTACCTACTTAGTGCAGCTTATTTAAAAAAAGATGACCCAAAAAAAAAATGTGAAGCTTGTGTAGCTATAGCTAAAGCTTAATTTTGTCAAAGATTGACAATATTTGTCTCAGATTGGACATTTCGACTGAAACAATGGACGAGCGAGGTTTCTTAGGTGTGACATGTCATTTTCTTCAAACTAGTAAAGTACATATGCTCTATCTAGCTATTGGTACGCGCAATCAAATATTTGCCCTGTTTGGTTCACACAATAAATCACATTGTTGAAGCGGCTTTAAAATGATCAATTGTGAATAAAAAAGATACGTATCAATGGTTCTGAATAGTCAGTTTTAAAACCTATTGCCGATATCCAAACAATATGGAACTGAATAATATCTTTGAAAAGTGACCCATTGGGAGTCATGCGAACGGTATTTTCTAACTTTTATAAGGGAATATCTATTTCCTAAAGCTAGTGCTGCTATGACGCACAATAGAAAAAGCGTGTTCCCTAAATATTTGCAGCAACTGATTTTTTGGGAAATCATCAGAAAGAATATTTTTATTCTTTTTACCTTATGGCAATAAATGCTTTAAAATATGTTCCATGAATTTTATTACAATTCCTTATTTAAACGGCTTTTTTGCAGTTACAAATCACGGTAACAGTTAATTTCGGTCTTGAAAAACTCATCGAAAATGTATCCTTAAAATTTGTTTATGACGATTATATGTAGAGTCGCTCAATATCGAGTCAGTCAATAAAATTGTGAACAGGTAATGGTTTTGATAATTTCAGAATACTGATATGAGCAGTATCACAAGATGATTCGGTTACTACTCATTTGAGTAAGTATCGATACTTTCTCAGTATCTTATCGTCCCTAGATCTAACAAGTGATTAAATCATATCCCGGAGCTTGTTTGCATTTATGTTTTCTTTGATTTTTCATAAG